ATATACCAAATAATTTTTGTCTTGGTAATTCACAAACACTTTATCGTCCGAATTAAACTCCATTGTTTTTTCCACTAAAGTTTCATATCGATGGAGTCCAACATCATCGAGGTTGACGGGCTGGAACCTTCTTGTTTCTGGTTTAATAAATTTTTCACCAGAACTTACCCCTAGCATGATTAAATGTTTTGCTGGGATTATTGTGTCGTTGAGCCAAATTGGTACCGAACTCATGATTTTTAGAAAAATGTCCTTGTCGCCTTGAATGCATTTTTTCCTGTAGTTCTTTATCGCCTTAAGAATATTAGAAGGTAGTTCTTGTAGTTCTTTTAAGGTTTAGCTGGGGTATATGGTTTTTATCATCCCATATTCAAATGTTTCAATAACCATTTCTGGATTTGCATTTTTTATGAAGTTAAAGAACCTTAAATCTTTTCCATTAGTTTTGAAGTATTTATCTGTCAAGATCTCTATTTCACCACTTGTTGCGGGACAAATTGACCAATAGTCCAAACCTTTCGAAAGTTGGGACGTATTGGTCTGTTCATCTTGTTGGGCTTCTTGATTAAACTTCTTGGGGATTTTTCCAAGAGTTCGGAGTCTTTCTTGTTTTCAGGGCTTTTTTAGGGCCGCAGTGAATGTGTTGGGCTTAAGTCCATCTGCTGTGCAAATTAGCTCAAGGGGAGCTATTATATTTATTCTTGAGTACTGATCCGCTGCAATACGAGCCTCAAAGAAACTTTTGTACTTCTTGTGTGAAAAACCAGAAATACCACTTGTAGCCTTTTTGTTAATCTCCCAATCTTGATAGATACCTGCATTTGGGCCATTGAACACAACATAATATGTTGTATCTTTTTTAGTTGGGATTTGAATTCCCTTATCACTGTCAAGTGGTTTTATCTGTTTTGGAACAAAGGTTCCACAGTTCGGTCTGAGGTTTAAACCATCAGAATTATCCGACGTTGTTGGTAATTTAATACCTATTGCCGCTTTTAGCAAGTTGCCAGCTATTAACGGATTTGATGAGTTTTTACCAGTAGCCGTTTGCCCTGGACTAGTTTCACTTTCAAGAACTATAAGATCTGGAGAAGATGAAATTTCCTCTTTTTGTTCACAAGCTAGGCTTGCTACATTACTCGTTTGTTCCATTGTTGGAATAGAGACAGTAGAATCTCTTTTTTGTTCAGCTTTAATCAAGCTTACATACTTGATTTTGGCGCGAACCAAGTCAAGTTCTTCGACTAGAAGTCCTTCTCGCAACCGAAGTTGCTCTAATTCATCCATTTCAGATGATGCTTTATCAAGCACAAATAGTGCCTGGGAAGCAACTCCATGTGCGAGGGCATTCTTGTTACCTGCAATATGCTGCACATCAACTTCATATTGGTTAAGCCACATTTGTCATCTTACAAGTCTACCTTGTTTATTATCACCTTTCATCTTGGTTTTTAAGAAATAAGTGAAGTTTTTATTATCTGTCCTAACGATAAATTTATAAGGAGTAAGATAAATTGTAAATTTCTTTATGGTTTTTATTATCGCAAGATATTCTTTTTCATTTGAGTGATAATTCTTTTCAGCAGAATTAAAACTTCCTGAAGCATATCGACATATATACTCTTTTCCTTTAGATAGTGCTTTTCGAACACCACCAATATGCATTTGATGCATCTGTTTCAATGATCAACTGATCGTCTGTTTTTGGAAGATATAATAAAGGAAAATTGGTTAATTTTTTATTTATTTTCTTCATGTAATTAGTATCAGTTTCTGACCAATGCCATTTTGATCTTCCTTCAATTTAGCTTGTAAAGGAGCTCTTATACTAGCTAATTTAGGAATATAATCTGAAGCATAAGTTAATACACCTAAAAAGCGCATTAAATATTTCTTATCTTCAAGTTTATCTGGGAACTTATGGATATGTTCCAAAATATGATTTTGAGGTTTGTGAAAACCTTCTTCGATTGTTAATCCTAAAAATTTAATTTTAGTTTTAAACAATTGTGTTTTCTTTTCAGACAGGATTATTCCTAATCTATCACATTCTTTTAGGACTACTGCAACATGCATGTAATGTTCTTGCTCTATATCACAAAAGATGAGAATATCATCCACATATACACAACAGAATTTTTCAAACTTTCTAAATGCATTATTCATATGCCTTTGAAAGATTGATGGAGCTTGTTTCAAGCCCAAGAGTACTACCACGAACTGTAATGTCCTAATGGGCATGTAAAAGTTGTTAGTAGTTGGGATTCCTTGTCTAAAAGGACTTGCCAAAAACCTGATTTACAATCGAAAGATGTAAATATTGTTTTTTCTTTTAATAAAGATAAAGTTCATCTTTATTTGGTAAATTATGACCATCACCAATTATTTTCTTGTTTACCTTTCGGTAATCAATAACAATTCTTCGTTTTGAAGTTCCTTTTTTTATCTACAAAAAATGCTGGTGATCTATGAGAAGACTTACTTGGAATGATGACTTTCATGTCAAGCATTTCTTGAACTTGTTGATTAAGTTCTTCTCTATCTTTGGGTGTATAGCTCATTGCTTTCATCACAATTTCAGTTTTAGGATCTATCAATTTGATAGAAGCTTTCATCCAATACTTGGTCATGTTAAGATCAAGTGGATTTTCTGCACAGACTTTTTTCCATAAATTTTCTATTATAGAAATTTTTTCTTGATTAAGAAGAAAGATGTTCATATCTTTCCTAAGCTCTAATAACCGCTTCCCCCTCTCTTTCAGAAATGAGATTTTATTAGTAGTTATTTGAACTGGTTCTGGTTTTTTGGATTTATATTTCTTCCTCATAGAATCTAAATATCCTGGATTTTCAACTCTGTATGTAGTTCTCAATTTCCCTATGTGTACAGGTTGATTATCTTTGGTGACAATTATCCTATCAGTGTATTGAACAAAAGGTTCATATAATTGACAGAAATTATTTCCTAGAATAAAATCCATTCCATATTCTTGTTGATAGATAGTTGGAATAAGAAATATTTCTCCTGCTATAATCATATTTAAATTATTACAAACTTTATTTATTGAGATTGAACTTCCATCGGCAATATTTACTTGTAATGTGCTTGATGCATTTTTCCAGTGTTCTTTAGGGATAATATGTTACCCGAATTCAATCTACATTAAAGGTAAATTGAAAATCGCATGTTATAAACAAATGGAAATACATTGTTTTGTTGATATAGGTGCAAGTCTTTGTTTGTAATACTGATGAGGTTATCCTCACTCTGCATCACTGCAATTTGAAAAAATTTTACTTTCTCAGATTTTTGTCTATTAGGACAATCATTTGCACAGTGACCTTCTATGTTACAGATCCAACATCTGCAATTCTTTTTCCTTTTTGGGCAAAAGTTCTTCTTAGGTTGAAACTTCTGTTTCTTCCTAAAATATTTACAGGTTCAAAATTTCTTCTCTTCTTTCTTTTCTGGTACCTATATTTTCTAGAGTATTTTTTCTTAGATTTTATTTTGTATGGTCTACAACCATAATCTATAGATTTCTCAGAAATTTTAGAACAACGGTTTCTGTTGAACTTCTTCATTTGTTTTTGCTTTGTAGTAGCATTACAAATTTTTTCAATTTCTTCTCTCACGAGTCTTTTGGCATAACCAAAACTATACTTCATAAGATTTTCAGTTGTCTCATATTTTTTTGAAGCACCATTTTCTACAATAGGAATTTTTGCTAAATACATTCTAATGTATTCAGGATGTTCTCCAAAATCTATTTCGAAAAGATTGTTTTCGAAATCACAATTGAATTCTTCAATATAACAAATATCACAAAGAGTCATATTGTTTAATCTTACTTTTGCTTTGGATTGTTCTATAAGTTTTTTATTTTCCGCATTTGATACTCGATCAATGCCCAAAAATAGCGTATATAAACTATTCAGGATGCTTTCAAGCATAACTATAGGGTCTACATTTTGAGTATTCCATTGAACTCTTTTTATAAAATTTTGTGCATTTCCAAGCATTCTATGCTCAGCAAGTGCTAACACAAGTTGTGCCGTATTAAAAGTACTGGGATTAAGATTAATCACAAGACTCATTTCTAGTCTCCATTTATCAATTAATTTGTTAATTGTTTCAGGTTTCTTACAGTAAATCTAGGATTGAGGTTGTCTGAACTTCTCCAACAATACCAAGAATACCGGCATTGTTGTTAGATGACCTAAGTGGTCTAGAAGTTATTGATGGTTTTCTTTCGAATTCATCAGTATTCATATATTGATCATCTTTTGTTCTAGATGATTCTGGTTTTTTCATTCTAAAATTTTCTTTTAGAAGTTCTTCCTCATCATTGAAGTTTATTTCTGATTCTGACTGAATGTCAGTTTCAGTTTCCTCAATTTGATAAAACTGTTCATTTTCATCAAATTTTAATAATTTTTTTATTTCAGGATTTGATTCTAAATCTGAATTGCATTGTTCCTCATTCATTTCTAAGAAACGAATTGTATGTTCAAGCTGGATAACTTGTTTATCATCCAAATCTAAATTAATTAGATTCCAGATGTTTTTCTCAAGTTTTTCTTGAAAATTCATTTTTTCAAAGCATTCTTTTGTCCATTTAAAGGCATTAGGGTTTCCTGAACTTCCTAGTTCTTCATTCCTTACAAAATCGTTAGGATATGAATATTTAAGAAAGAATATATTTCCTTGATTAGGAGTTATCTCCAGTTTTTCAAAAATTTCTTTTTTGCAAGAACATTTAGTAATTTCTTGCTTAATATCATTGATTATTTTAGCCGCTATTGTTCTAAATCTTGTTTAGAATCTTTAGACTGTTGTTGCACAGATTTGTATAAATCATCTATCTGTTTTTAAAGATTTCTATATCCCGTTTAATATCTGTTAATGTATAATTCATTTTCTATTAATATTGTTATTATTATTTGTAAGTTTGCTTATAGCAAAGTGAGGTGTGGTGATAGTATAAAAATGACACTTGTCACTCAACTAGGCGGTAAATGTAGTGCCTTACTGGCAGGATCGAATTTTTCTTTTCCAACATCACACTATTAGTCAACGAACCAACAATATCATTTTCTACTTCACACCTACCCACAACACATGCTTATTAATTTATTTATCATTATCATTATGATTTTTCNGTTACTATATATACCTGGAGCAACCCGGCAACTCGTCCGGGTCTATCGGGTCAGGCCCCAAACATAAAACACTGAGCGTGTCCCGCCAGCTGGCAGTCCTCGCGGTGTACAGATCATAGCTGCTGGTGTACCTAACAGCCCGCCTCACATCCCTTGTGTAGTACTTTCTCTTCTCCTGAACGTCCAGATCCATGAACCCGTGGACCCCACCAATCATACCGTCCAGCACCGCTCGTGGAATCCCATGATTCACCACCTGAAAAAACCCAAACGCCTCCGAAGCCATTCTCACTTGCTCCACGATCCAATTTCGCCTCTCGGGATTTCCCATGTCTCCAATATCGATCACCGGGACCTGGACTGACTGTCGTAGTTCAGGCTCCCGACCGAACTCGTCTAACGGACTAACGAAGATCTCGGGGATTTTTTGGAGGCCCAAGTCGACTAGGCCCTTCACTCCCGCATTTGTTTCGTCAAACTCCTTTAGCATTCTCATCCTCGCTTCCTTTTCGGTGGCCATCTGAATTTTACAAGTGTGTGTGTTTTTGTTGGTATATTTCAATTTTCAACTTTGAAATTTAGGAAGAAGGTGGGTTTAATTTAATTTTACGGAAGGGACAATATAATCAGAGTTGCAAGTGGTGTAATCTTTATCCTGTGAGTGCTGGGCCGGCGTGCAGTTTCAACTCTTGGATTTTTGTGCATATCTTATTTGAAGGGACCCACTAGTGTTTATTTACATATCTTTTGACTATTTAATTACTCAACTATTCCACACTAGTGCGCATCCCGTGCAATGCACGGACCGATTTGTTACTTAAAATATTTTTAAAAATTTTATTTTAAACATAAATATATATATATTTAACATCTCATTATTGCAAAAAAGAAATACAAAATATGAAAAATTATGTATAGTTTATTTGAATATAATGAGTGTCTCCAACCAAACCAATGATATCCAACACAGATATATGATAAAATTAATTATATGAATCTTAATACTTTTTAAATATATTTATAATAAATATGAGATATTTAAGATTCAAATTAAAATTTGTAATTTGGATATGAGATGAAAAAATAGATGTGTACAAAAAAAATAGGTACCAAGAATCCACATATTATAAGATTCTTTCTAAACTTTAAAAGATTTTGTAGTTCGATACATATGGACACAAAACTCATCAACTAAATTGAACAATCCAAAATATAAAAATTTATTTTAGAAATTAACATTCTTTATTAGATAAATACGAATTTTAGTTGTAGCCATAAAATATGAGATTTTTAGATAAATAAATATGGATATAAAATATTTAATTAAGTTGTCATAACTTTTCGAGAATATTTCAAAAGATTTCAAACGTTTTATTCAGTAAATGATTAACCAGATTTTTGTAACCAAATTTACACGTTTCACCGAATAAATTGAAGGAAATAATAGATCGGATTTTTTGGAAGCAATATTTTCAAGTTTCATTCTCATTATTCTTCAGATCTAACCGTAGCATTTAAAGAAATCGTTGCTCATATTTTTAGAAATTAAGGTTTACATAATATATTTCTCAAATAACAATATTTTTTATAAAATTTGAATTCAAAATTTTCATTCAGCCGTTCTTTTTCAAAGAAAAATACTAATAATAATAACTTTGAAAATTTTAAGCGGGAATTTCAATATTATTTCAAGTAAGTAATCTCTCTAAGATATAGTAATAGATATTAATTATATTTAAAAAAATATGGTTAGATAAATGTGGATAAAAAATGTTATATTAATTATTTTGTTAGGAATGTGATTATATAGAAGTTAAGATAAAATGAAATGTACCCAAAAAATTTTGTGATATTTTTGTTAAATGTTTGAATTTAAAAATCTAATACAAAATTTAGATTATATCACATAAGAAAAAAATAATTATACACGTTTATTAATATATTTAAAATATAATTTTAAATTTCAAATAAAGTAAAATGCGGGATAACTCATATTTGTTATAGAAAATTTCTAAAATGTTTATTAGTATTTTGGTAACTATATCTATAAGAATAATCGTACAATTTTAATTTCTAAAAATTTGGTAAGTTTGTTAATGAGATAAATTCTGCTAGATAAATGATTAATTATTTAAAAAAATTGTGTTAGATTAAATTAATAAATATTTTATTTTATTTATTAAAAAATATTTTGTATTAAATTAACCTTTTGATTACATTAATTTTATATTTAAAATTTATTTTTTGTATTCGGAAATATTTTCTGTCAAACCATAAAATTTTGAAGATATCAATCGCCATAAAATCATAAGATAAATATGCACTATTTATTTTATTATGGTAAAGGATAATCACACCAAATTAAAAATTAAAAATGAATACTCATTATTGTTTAAGATATTGAATTTACAAAAGAGGAAGAAGAAAAGAAACAAAACTAATATTAATTGTTTGTTGTATTATTCAAAAATGATGTTTGTGGCATTATATGTGGATAAGTTGGGATAAATATCAATCAATTTTCTATTGGATAAATACAAACATTAGAAATATTTTTAGGTTAGATAAATATGGACATAACAAACTTTTAAAACTTGTAATTGATTTATATTTTATTTTTCAAACGTTTTTCCTAATTTAGTGGATATGCCCAAATTTACATACATACACGTTTTTTCTCATGAAGAAAAAGTGGTTCCATATTTCAAGGAAATTAGAATCTCTTTATATCATGTTATGTATAACAAACCTATTATACACGTTTTCAATTGCAAGGGTTGGACATGTTAAAAAATTCAAAAAAAAAATTGCGAAATATATAAGCGGGAAAATGACTATTATGAAGCGGGAAAACAAATTATTTTTTTTTCGAATTGGTTGAATATTTTTTCTTAACTGTATTATATAGTAATAGATTTATTAAGTTCCTTTTGAGATACCACCGAAAGAGAAATGATCATATTAAAATAGTAGATAGTTAAAAAATTAAGAATAATTTTTAAATTATTAGATCCAACATATCAATAGTCATGTTCAAATCAAATATTAAATATGTCAGTCAAATATGCCGTGATAGTTTTTCAATATCTATATTTATACTATTATAAAAGCACGAGTGATTTTATAAAAAAATGAACTGCCTAAAAAACTTTTACTTTGATATATTTTTAATGTCAAAGTTGTAATCACACTAACTATATCAATATAAAAATATTTTGATCTAAAGTTATAATTAAAGTACAAAGACTCTAAATTTTATATTAAAATAATAAAACTTGCTTTTGGTCGTGTATGATTTCTATACTCATTAGAACTTGATCGTGATCAATTTGATTTCTTGATAGATAAACTTATAATTTTGTAATATGATCGTGCGAACATAGTTTCTTTTAAACATGCTCAAAAGCAAAAGCAACCAATATATGTATATATATATATATATACATATATATGGAAAAAAAAAATATATATATATATACATATATAGGGTTGGGTTCAAGTGAGAATGGTGTTTAATGAAAGAAATAAGAATACATTTTATTTAAGGGTATTTTAGACATTTTATCATTTTACTAATTAATTTGTGCCAACTAAAAATTACACAGGTCCAATTATTTCATGCCACGTGGCTAAAACACATCACACCTCTCACACACCTCTCTCTCTCTCTCAAATACAGAGACACACACACACATAAATTGGTCAACAGATATACACACGCAAAATATAAACACACGCAGAAGAAGAACAGCCCCATCCCCGGCCGCCCAATTCCCGGCGGCGTCACGGCTGACCGACGCTCAGGCGTCGCCGCACCTCCGCTAGGCCGCCGCGCCGCCGTACGTGCCGGAGCTCCGATTCTCTGCCATCCACCTCAACCACAAATCTCGGACAAAATCCGGCAACCGGTCG